AGCCCGTCACGGTGTGAATCGTCCCTTACCCGCTGTCCGGGGGTTGAGCACCGCGTGGTGAGTTGTCCCGGCCGAGCCCAGAAAAGCCGGCGGCCCGCTCGGCAAGCGGCAGATACGGCCGCCGCCATCTTAGCTCGCAAGCGAAGGAATCGGCTGATGAGCCGGGAGCACTTCCGGAAGGGAGAGTCACGTGACCGGAGGGTGGATGGATAGGCGGGGCCGAGCCACATGATTGACATAAAAAAAATGCTGGAGGCGTTTCTGGCTATTTTAAGTGTTTTTATGAGTTTTTCTTTCAACCTCACAAGTTAGGCAACCATCCAATAGCAGGAAGCAGCTTCTAGCAGAATCACCCTCTCATGATTCACCATGAGGCTGCAAAAATCCCAAACTTATGAATCCTCAGAATCCAGGATCCATGGATGTTTCCATGATCTTAGTGTCTTAATTTAAGCCTATGTCAAGAGTGGGCAACTGTGGCCAACTTTTACAACCTGTGGACTCCAACTCCCAGAATTCCTGAGACAGCCAAGCTGGCTCAGGAATTCTGGGAGTTGAAGTCCACAGGTTGTAAAAGGGCCACAGTTGCCCACCCCTGGCCTATGTGATCAATTTATGCCACCTTGGTTCCAAAATGCGTTGAAGTTTGATTTATTAGAGGTCTTCAAACTTGGCAGCTTTAAGACTCGTGGACTTCAACTCCCAGAATTCTCCAGCCAGGCTGGCTGGAGAATTCTGGGAGTTGAAGTCCATAAGTCTTAAAGCTGCCAAGTTTGAAGACCTCTGATTTATTATCTCCTTCCACTTATGACTGTAACTTTGCTGCTTGTATCCTTATGATTTATATTGTTTCCTGATTGCTTACTTGTACCTTATGACTATCACTAAGTGTTGTACCTTATGATTCTTAATGAACGTATCTTTTCTTTTATGTACACTTGAGAGCGTATGCACCAAGACAAATTCCTTGTGTGTCCAATCACACTTGGCCAATAAAAAATTCTATTCTATTCTATTTTGTAGCAATTCTGTTTCTTTAGGTTTTCATTCTCACAGGCTGAGCAGCAGTAAGTGCTTGACAAAAAGATCCCTAATAGAATTGGAACAATAGACCCTATTTCCTGACAGTGAGAATAGAATAGAATAGAATAGAATAGAATAGAATAGAATAGAAAGAATAGAATAGAATAGAATAGAATAGAATAGAATAGGAATAGGTAAATGGGGAAAACCACATTCACTTAACAACCATTTGATTTACTTAACAAGTACAGTGATTCGCTTCAGTATTGTGGCAAAAATGTCGTGAAATGCAGCACAAGTCACTTCAAAATTGCCTCACTTAGCAACAGAAATTTTGGGCTTAGCTATGGTCGTAAATCAAGGAATACCTGTATTCTTTATTTGTGTTCTCTGTATATCCCTCTAAAGAAATAAAGATATTTGTATTTATATAAACAGGAAGGGTAGAAGGTACGTAAAATCTGAATTTCAAATAAAGTTTAGACTAGTTCTGTGAAGTTACTAAGTGAAGTAAACCTTCCTGGCAGCACAATTGTAAACAATAATAAATTAATGGCTTATATGTCCAGTAAATTTTGGCGGTTTTTTAATCTTCCCTTCTCATCATCTCTTCCTTATTCCTTTTAAAACCATTTTACATTAATGTTGGGTTTTGCAAAGTAAGCGCCTAATTGTTACCAGTAAAAATGTCCTTTGGGCAATTACAAAACCAGCCTGTTAACAGTGATAATGGTTTGAGTAATTATTCCTAGCCTACAAATATCCAAGGGTAGATATTCATTAAACCAGAGACTTAATTAAAGCTCCTCCAACTCATTCCCAAATTCTAGGCAGCTGGTGTGGTGTACTATTAATATATTGTTATAATTATATATTAATATATGGAATTAAAGGATGTCATATAATACCTGGTATTTAAAAAAAGATTATATATTCTGTCTCTCAATGAACAGCTTTGAAGATAATCAGAGGAGGTTAGGAGCCAAATGTAACTTCTGAAATAAACATCCAACTGAGTTGAAGTTAGGCGTTTTATAAAATCATTAAACAAAAGGCGTTGAACCGACTTAATAAACAAAAATAATTTATTGGTGGTTTGGGGTAGTGGCATCTCCAGTTGCAGCATATGGCAAGATAGTTATGTATCATTCATACCACTTTTAGTTTATAATACCAGAAATACCTAAAAAATTAGTCAGTTTGGTATGCTTTGGTAAAGGTAAAGGTTCCCCTTGCACATAGGTGCTAGTCCTTCCCGACTCTAGGGAAGGAGACTCTCATCTCCGTTTCCTACCTACCTACCTACCAAAAAAGGTAGGTGCATCTTATACTACGGTGCGTCTTATACTCCGAAAAATACGGTAACTTGCAGCCTTTCGGCCTTGCAATTATCGCAATTATCATAACAAGGACTATTGCAGGACTCTTGCCTGGACTTTGTGGGGGAATGCAGTTCATTCTCAAAGGGGTAATTAAAGAGGAGTTTTGTCTTTGCGAAGAGTCAGTTCCTTGCTTCTGTGAAGGCCGGGTCAGAACAGTAAGTTTGGTCACTAAATGGACTGTTGTAAGCTCAGAGCTACCTGTATTTAAGTTAACAACAGTGATGGTATTCAGCTGGTTTTATCCGATTCGGGCAAATCGGTAGCAGCAGCTGTGGGAGGCTCCACCCATCCGCCCGGACATCATCGTGTCCCCCCCACTTTTTTTTTTTTTGGAAAAATTTTATTTTTAAACAAACATACATAAAAACATCAAACCATCTTCAATTTCACACAGTGTGTCGGTTGGTTACAAGTCTTTTGTGATCACGTCCCCTTTTTGACACTCTGCGCATGTGCAGGAGGCCACCGGTTTGCAAACATGTAGCGAAGGTAAGTGAATGCCATCCCTGGTTAACAGCTACAGTGATTCACTCAACAACGGTGGCAGGTAAGGTTGTAAAATGGGGCAAAACTCACTTAACAACTGTCTCGCTTAGCAACATCAACGCTCGGCTCCGTGATGGCCGTAAGTCGAGGACAGCCTGTATTGTGATGCCGTTTAGTCCTTTTTTTTTTTTTCCGCTTGAGCTTCAAAAGTTGATGTCACAATGGCAAGAGGAATCCGTTTGCCGCAGCAATAACAATAGAACTTAGAACTTAGTTTATTAGATCCACATTCCAACCAACATCCGAAAGAGCCCCCAACCTCTTCTTACGATGCCAGGGAGAAACGATCCGTATCAGTAGATCGCTTCTGACAGGTAGTCCTCGGACTTACAACCGTTCCTTTAGTGACCGTTCAAAGTTAACAACGGCCACTGAAAAAAGTGAATGACCGTTTTTTCAGTTAAGAGGATGAGGAGGCCGGAGGTTAAAACAGATGAAGAACGAATGGAGGAATTGGGTATGTCTGGTCTAACGAAGAGAAGGAGTGACCTTTATTTATTGGTTCGATTTATATGCCGCCCTTCGCCGGAGACTCAGGGGGGCTTACAATGCGTTAAGCAATAGCCTTCATACTTTTGTATATACCTGCTTAGTAAGGCTTTTGCCGGCCCCCCCCTAAGCGGTGTTCTTTTTTATACAAAGTCCGCTTATTGCCCCCAGAAACCGGGTCCTCATTTTACCTACCTCGGAAGGATGGAAGGCTGAGTCAACCTTGAGCCTGGTGAGATTTGAACTCGCAGTAATTGCAGGCAGCTGGTAGCTAAGTGCTACTTTAACAGCACTTTAGTCCGCTGCACCACCAAGGCTCCTTAGACATGATAACAGTTTTCCAGTACTTAAGGATCCCATAGATCAGTGATGGCTAACCTTTTCTGGACCGAGTGCCCAAACCCCTAAAACGCAATGCGTGTGCAGCCCCTTGCATGTGCCCCGTGCCCCCTGCATGCACTCTCCCCTGTGCAGGCCCCCGTGTGCATGCATGCACACCCCTGCATGGACCTGGTCCCCGCATGGACCCGGTCCCCACATATGTGCGTATGGCCCCCTGCATGTCTCCCACCCCGCATGCGCCCTTCCCTATGCAAGTGCCCCAATGCATTCGTGCACGCCCCCGCATGCACCCTGTCCCCACATGGGCCCTGTCCCCGTGCATGTGCGCACGGCCCCCTGAATGTGCCCCGCCCCACATGCACCCTTCCCTGTGAAGGCGGCCACCCAGTGCATGCGTGCATGTCCCCACATGCATCCTGTCCATGCGCTTCCATGCACAGCCCCCTGCATGTGGCCCGCACCCCCCCGCATGCATTTCCCCACATGCACACACAGCCCTCCTGCATGTGCCCCACCCCCCATGCATGCGCGGCAAAGACCCGAAGACCAGCTGGCTGGTGGGAGGTGCGCATATGCACAGCAGAGCTGAACTGGGGCGACGGCTCGCGTGCCCACAGAGAGTGCGCTGCATGTCACCTGTGGCACGCGTGCCATAGGTTTGCCATCACGGCCATAGATTCTTCTATGGCATAGAAGAAAGGCTTGAGGGCCAGGGGCATGACAAGATGTAGTCCTCTACTTACAACCCTTTGTGTAGTGACCACTCGAACTTACAACAGCACTGGAAAACGACCGTTTTTCACGTTCACGACCGTTGCAGCATCCCCCACGGTCACGGGATCGAAATTCAGACGCTTGGCCACCGATTCACATGTATGACCGTTGCAGCGTCGTCTCCCGGGGTCACGCAATCCGTTTCTTGCCACCTTCGGACGGAGCAAACTCGACGGGGAAGCCGGATTCGCTTCACCGCCGGCTTACCAACCTCACTGATTTACTTAACAACGGACAGAGGCAAGAGAGGTCGTAAAACGGGGCCAACCTCACTTAACCAAGCCTCCCTTAACAAAATTGGGTTCATTGTAGTCGTAAGTCGGGGACTACTGTAGTTCCCGGTTAGGGGAAGCCCCTTTTCTCACGCCTCTTCCTTCCCCTCCCCTCCCCCACCCGGCAACACGTGTAACCCGTGCAGACGTGCAACCTTTCCGGGAGAGGGCAGCCGAGGGCTGGGAGGAGGGAGAGCCGGGCAGGAACGAGGCCAGGCCGGGGGGCCCCCGCGAAGCTGCTCCGGGCCGGCCTGATCCGCTGCCTGGGGAAGCGGCCCTGCCAGGCTCCGTCCTCGCTGCTCGGGGCTGCGGCGGGCGAGGGGACCGCGGGGCAGAGGCGGCTCGGCGGCGGGGCTCGGCCGGGCAGGGAGAAGCGCCGGAGGCCGCTGATGGAGGAAGAAGAGGAAGAAGCGGCCGCCCTGCGGGAGCCCAGCAGGGAGAGGTGAGCGATCTCCGTGTCGGGAGGGGATCGCTCGGGGAGGGGAGATCCCACCGGATCCCACGATCTCTGCAGCCCCGCGAGATCGCCTGGCACTAGGAATGGATCGCTCGGGGAGGGGAGATCCCACCGGATCCCATCAAAGGAAGCATTGCCAAGTGATCTCTGCAGCCCAGCCCTGAGAGGGGCGAGATCGCCTGGCACTAGGAATGGATCGCTCTGGGAGGGGAGATCCCACCGGATCCCATAAAAGGAAGGTATTGCCAAGCGATCTCTGCAGCCCCGCCGGAGACACGAGAGATCGCCGGCCACTAGGAATGGATCGCTTGGGGAGGGGGGATCCCACCGGATCCCACCAAGGGAAGCCTTGCCAAGCGATCTCTGCAGCCCAGCACTGAGAGGGGCGAGATCGCCGGCCACTAGGAATGGATCGCTCGGGAGGGGAGATCCCACCGGATCCCATAAAAGGAAGCCTTGCCAAGCGGTTCTGCAGCCCCGCCGGGAGACATGAGAGATCGCCGGCCACTAGGAATGGATCGCTCGGGGAGATCCCAACCGGATCCCATCAAAGGAAGCCTTGCCAAGCGATCTCTGCAGCCCCGCCGGGGGAGGGGAGAGATCTCCAGGCACTAGGAGTGGATCACTCGGGGAGGGGAGATGATCCGAAGAGATCCCACTGGATGGATCCCATCAAGGGTAGAAGCCTTGCAAAACGATCTCTGCCGGCAGCCCAGCCGGGAGAGGTGGGGAGATCGCTAGGCGCCAGGAATGGATCGCTCGGGGGAGGGGGGAGATCCGGAGATCTAGGGAATCTCTGCAGAGCTGCAGCTTTCGATTTCCTCTGCCTCGGATGGCGACCGAGGCTGGGCTTTTTACCCCCGAATCCCACCGGGCTTTTCCTGCACCGCGCAGCTTCGTCCGTCCGTCCGTCCGTCGTTCTGCGGGGCTGGTCGGTCCCCGGGGACTCTCTCTGCTCGCTGGACGCCCCGGCCTCCGAGGGGGCCCCTTCGGGCGTGGGAGGCCGTGGGCTTCGTGGGGTTGGCAGGGCCTGGGGTAACGGGACTCGGACGCCGGTTTCGAACTCGGCTCCCGGGTGCGGGAGGTTTCCCCAGATGTGCGCCAGGTGTGGTGGGGGAAAATCCTGCTTCCACCCCACTCCCACCTTCGCCACTCGGGAACCGGCCTCAGGTGGGCCTGGGGGCTGGAGAAGGAGCCGGTGAACTGAAAATGGAAATACCGTAGCACTGATAAGGTTACCTAGTTTGGTAATGAAACGTCTGCAAGAAAACAAGCAAGCTCAGAGAGCACCAAGGACCCCACAGTATCCTCCTCTTCCTCTCCACACTCCCTCCTAGCACTGATGGTGTTACCTAGTTTGGTAATGAAATGTCTTCGAGGAAACCACCAACCTCAGAGAGCACAGAGGAGCCCACGGTCCTCCTCCTCCTCTCCACACTCCCTCCTAGCATTGATGATGTTACCTAGTTGGGTAATGAAACGTTTGCAAGAAACCCACCAAGCTGAGCGCCAAGGACTCCACAGTCGTGCTCCTCCCCCTCCCCCTCCTCTTCCACAAACCCCACTCCCTTCTAGCACTGATGGTGTTACCTAATTGGGTAATGAAATGTCTTCAAGAAAACTATCAACCTCAGAGAGCACCAAGGACCCCTCAGTCCTCTTCCTCCTCTTTCTCCTTCCCCCTCCTCTTCCTCCTCTCCCTCCCCCTCTTTTTCCACTCTGCAAACCCCACTTCCTTGTAGCACTGATGGTGTTACCTAGAGGGGTAATAAAATGTCTTCAAGAAAACCAACCTCAGAGAGCACCCAGGACCCCACAGTCCTCTCCCTCCTCTTCTTCCTCTTCCTCCCTCCCTCTCCTCCTCCTCCTCCTCTTCCTCCTCCTCTCCCTCCCCCTCCTCCTCTTTTTCCACTCTGCAAACCCTTCTAGCACTGATGGTGTTACCTAGATGGGTAATGAAACGTCTTCAAGAAAACCGCCAACCTCAGAGAGCACCCAGGATTCCTCATTACTTGTGCTACAAGTCTGGAAGACAAGGATGCATTCATTACCTCTGGGTCAGTCAAAAGATCACATTTTTCTTGCAATCAGAAATGTTATAAAGAAAACCAAAAAGGATAACGGAGCAAATCAGGGTGTATTTTTCCTCTCCTGAAAGCTAGATAATTAAAAAAAAAAAAAAGTTTGCAAACTTTATGCTTCGTTAGGAAATAGGGTGCCTTTCTATTGTAGGTAGGGTGGGGTGGGAAATATTAATTAAATATTAATTAATGAATCTCCCTTATCAATGGGAGGTTGGTCGTTTCTGTATTTGGCTCAGACGGAATTAAATTTCGGAGAAGAAGAAGAAGGTAGGAGCAGAAATTGGACGCTGCGGATTATTAAGGCTGCAAAATTGAGAGTTGTTGTGTTCAGTTGCTTTGTCCCAGAGGGAGATTACTTAATTTGTACTTTAAACAAAGCTAGAAATTAAATTCGAGTTCACTTCTTTGGACCTCATCAATTTTAGAAGATAACAGTACGGTTTGCAATCGCTTTCTAAAAAAATTAAAATTAAAATTAAAACATCCAAATAATTGTTTTGGAAGGGCAGCTATTTGGAATGTCAGATACTGAATGGGAAAACGGTGCTTAATTGAGATATTAGCATGCATAGTTTTCAGCCTTTCTGGTTGTTGTTTTTTTATCCTTTTTCCCAAAGACCGTCTCATTTTTAGCCGGTGAATAGGTTCGAATCCGCGAATGAATGAAAAGGCAGGCGGTTCAATTCAGTTGCTATGGTTCGTGCATTCTCCAACATTCACATGGAAATGTGCTGTGTTGGCTTTTCAGAAAAGGGTTGCATAATCCTCGCCTGCCAAATTTGTATTCTGTGCAGAAACTGCTGTCTTATTCTACATCTCCAACGTAAAGCCAATTTAACTTAGATATTGTTCAGAGCCAGGCATTCTCCGCAGCTTTGCCTGAAGTAAACTAGCCGTCGGGAGAAATCATGAAAATAACTCCCACCTCAACAGAAAAAAATATATACGTGAGACTGACAATTGCTCCTGATCATTTAACCCTGTAATAGCCAAACTATGGCATATCGGTGGGCATGCGAGCTCAGCTCCGGTGCGCCAATTGATTTTCGGGCCTTCTGGGCCCACCAGAAGTAGGGAAACAGGCTGTTTCCTGCCTCCAGAGGGCCTCGGGGAAGGCCCGTTTTTCTCTCTCCCCAGGCTCCAGAGCCTTTCTAGGAGTCTGGGGAGGGTGAAAACGGCCTTCCCCATCCCCCTGGAGGCCCTCTGGAGGCCGGAATCGGACCGTTTGCCAACTTCCGGTGGGACCGGAAGGCCCGTTTTTTGCTCTCCCCAGGCTCCAGAGCCTTTCTAGGAACCTGGGGAGGGCGAAAACGGCCTTTCCCACCTCCCCATCCCCCCTGGAATTGGGACCGGAAGTTGGCAAATGGTCCCACTTTGAGTGGGGAAGGCCATTTTCGCCCTCCCCAGACTCCTAGAAAGGCTCTGGAGCCTGGAAAGAGAGAAAAATGGGCACACTGGGTCATCCATTGCCAGGAGTGGGGGGATGGGTGTCACGCGCACATTTGTGGGGGCAGGCGCATAGAATTATGGCTGTGGGCATGCGCGCACGTGACCCCCCCCGGCATGTCCTCCCCCCCTGCTCCTGGCACGCAATGGCAAAAAAGTTAGCCATCACTAATTTAAGGCATCGTCTTTCACTTTTTTTTCACGGAATAATATCTTACAACACCCTTTAATTTCTGTATCATTGAATCTGTTCTTCCTAGAAAGATCTTTGGGTTTTGAAGGACCATGGAAATATTTTTTTTTTCAAGGCTTGTTTAAACATTGAACAGCTGCGAGTAAAGCGTCATACGAGTAGACCGGCCTAGTGAAACCTCTTCACACATTCTGGTAAATTGTCAGTACAGGTAGTCCTCGACTTACAGCCCACAATTTATGTGAGACAACTTGTTAAGTGAGTTTTGCCCTTTTTACGACTTTTTCTTGCCACGTTCGTTAAGTGAATCACTGCAATTGTTAGGTTTGCCACACAGTTGTTAAGTGAATCTGCCTCCCCCCCCCCTTGACTTTGCTTGTCAGAAGGTCTCAAAAGAGGATCGTGTGACCCCGGGGACACTGCCACCGTCATAAATATGAAGCAGTTGTCAATCATTTGAATTTTGATTGCGTGACCAAGGGGATGCTGCAACGGTCATAAGTGTGAAAAACGGTCCTTTCAGTGCCGTCGTAACTTTGAACAGTCACTAAAGGAACTGTTATGAGTTGAGGACTACCTGTATGAAGTTCTTGAAGTCAATATGCTTTCAAAGTTTAGCGTCTTTTTTATACTCTTGACTGTTCTTATTCCTTCAGAATTTTTGGAATCTCTAAATTAGTATTTCTCAAACTTGGCAACTTTACATTCTGTGGACTTCAATTGCACAGAATGGGACAAAATTCACTTAACAACTGTCTTGCTTAATGATATAAATTTGGAGCTCAGTTGTGTAATAAGTCAAGGAATATATTATTTATATATTAATATATTATTTTTATTATATACAAATAATAATATAATAATATATAATAATAATATGAATATTTATATAAATATATAAATATAATTATCATCTTCTTTTAATGACCCTATAATCCCTTGTGGGGTGGCATCTGGGAAACTGAATGGAGCTGAATGTTTTAATAGCCGGATGTCCTTCATGTCACCAATGTGGAGTTTTGTTCAGCAGATACATTCTCATTGTGCCCAGAGAGAAAAATATCTACCTCTACCTAGAATTGAACTCACAGCCTCCTGATTGTGAGGTGAGAACTTCACCTCTAGGCCACCACATCACTCAGGAATATATCTACCCCTACTCCTACCCCTACCTCTCCCTCTCCCTCCCTCCCATCTATCTATCTATCTGAGCCTGTTTGATTCTCTTGTTCTCAATCATTTAGTTTGGACCAGTGAAATCC